TTGCTTCGGCCCGACAGTGTTGGAATCCTGAAATGGGGGATGACCGTAGTGTGTGTGTGTGTGTGTGTGTGTGTGTGTGTGTGTGTACACACGCACGCGCGTGTTAATTGGTTCTCGGCTCCATTCTCATTGTTCCTCCTCTTTCCTGCCCCCCCCCAGATGGCATGATCAACATTGACATGACTGGAGAGAAGAGGCCCTTGGATCTCCCGTATCCCAGTAGCTTTGCTCCCATCTCCGCGCCTAGAAACCAGACCTTCACTTACATGGGCAAATTCTCCATTGACCCCCAGTACCCTGGTGCCAGCTGCTATCCAGAAGGCATCATCAATATTGTGAGTGCGGGCATCCTGCAAGGGGTCACCCCTCCAGCTTCAACCACAGCCTCATCCAGCGTCACCTCTGCCTCCCCCAACCCACTGGCCACAGGACCCCTGGGTGTGTGTACCATGTCCCAGACCCAGCCTGAACTGGACCACCTGTACTCTCCACCACCACCACCTCCTCCTTATTCGGGCTGTACAGGAGATCTCTACCAGGACCCTTCAGCATTCCTGTCGCCGCCTACCACTTCCACCTCCTCCCTGGCCTACCAGCCACCTCCTTCCTACCCATCCCCCAAGCCAGCCATGGACCCAGGCCTCATTCCTATGATCCCAGACTATCCTGGATTTTTTCCACCTCCGTGCCAGAGAGATCCACACGGTGCTGCTGGCCCTGATCGAAAGCCGTTTCCCTGCCCTCTGGACTCCCTGCGGGTCCCCCCTCCGCTCACTCCCCTTTCTACCATCCGAAATTTTACTCTGGGGGGCCCCAGTGCGGGAGTCACGGGACCAGGGGCAAGTGGAGGCAGCGAGGGACCCCGACTGCCCGGCAGTGGCTCTGCAGCAGTGACTCCTACCCCCTATAACCCGCATCACCTGCCTTTGCGGCCCATCCTGCGGCCTCGAAAGTACCCGAACAGGCCCAGCAAGACGCCAGTTCATGAAAGGCCCTACCCCTGTCCGGCAGAAGGCTGTGACAGGCGGTTCTCACGCTCTGATGAGCTGACCCGGCACATCAGAATCCACACGGGCCACAAGCCCTTTCAGTGTCGGATCTGCATGCGAAACTTCAGCAGGAGTGACCACCTCACCACTCACATCCGCACCCACACCGGGGAGAAGCCCTTCGCTTGTGACTATTGTGGCCGCAAGTTTGCCAGGAGCGACGAAAGGAAGCGCCACACCAAGATCCACCTTCGACAGAAGGAGCGGAAGAGCAGTGCCCCCTCATCCTCTGCGCCTGCCCAGCCTTCAGCCTCAGGTCCTGGGGGCTCGCAGGCAGGAGGCAGCCTGTGCACTACCACCACCATTGGAGGACCACTGACCTGCACCTCTAGGACCAGGACACCGTGAGATGAAGCTCCGGCTGACACACCAGTTTCTCCATGCCCCAGAGGCCCTCCGTCCACTTGTCCACTTGAGCTGCGCAACACTACCACCCCTCCCCGTTTCTCCCAGTAATCCTGGGCAAAGGACCTTGATGGAGCCTGGCCCTGCTCCACCTTCCTAACATGTAGGCCGTTTCTCTCTTCGGGGAGCTGACTGCCATGCCAAGCAATGGGGAGCCAGAAGAGGCATGGGTGAGGGTCCCTGGACTAGAGGGCTGCGGTCTGATCCTGACTGAGAGAACTCTCGCTAGGTTTTGCTAGTCCTTCCCTTTGTTTTGACCCTGGATGCCAGAGTTGTTTTGAGACTTTTTCTACAATAGGTTGGGAGATGCTGATTCCTCTGAGTGAGGACAGCAAAAAAGACTAAGAAAAACTGACATTGCACTTTATGGCTTGGGATTGATGTAGGGGAAAGTTGTACAGTGAGAGGAGCCTGGGCTGGGCTGCCACATTCTGTGGCCCCAGAACAGTGAAATTGATGTGTATCTAGCCGTCTCAACCCTTAAGCAATATGTACTAAAAACTCAGAGAACGGAAGTGCAATGATGGGAGGGACAAAGCAATATTGGCTCCTTTTTGTTGAGAAACAAAGATTATTTTTTCAGTGTATATCCATTCAGATTTTGTGTATTTTTGATGTGCACTGTTCTCCGAGTTCTGAACCTTCGGGAAAAAAATGTAAAGCATTTATGATCTCTTGAAATGAGTCAGTGGTTAACTTATTTAAAGGGGGATGTACATATTATGCATGCAGTTGTGTTGGAAGTGTCCTCTGTGCCTTGTGTGATGTGGGCAGTGTTACAGGGTCTGCATGTATACAAGATGCCTTACTATGGAAAAAAATCATTCCCTGGGTTTAAGTATGGCTGTATATTTCTGCCTATTAATATTTGGAATTTTTTTAGAAAGTATATTTTTGTATGCTCTGTTTTGTGACTTAAAAGTGTTACCTTTGTAGTCAAATTTCAGATGAGAATGTGCATAGTGTCACTGCAGCCGATCTGTTCATTAGCTCTTAATAGTTGTGGAAAAGTAAACAATCTATTCTAACATGAAACCACTAACTGGAGTTCAGATAATGGATGGTTTATGACTATGGTGTAAATAAATACTTTTCAACAATATTTTTGCTATACAAGTCATTTACGAAGTACTTACTGGGTGGAACTAAAACTATTCCCATCTGTGAACAAAAGACCACTCCTGCTAGGGGGGCTAGCACAGGACCTCCACGTCGCCTCCGCTGGCCTGTGGACACCAAGTCTCACTCTAGTCTCCATTCATAAGCCATAGCTAGTCTTCAGGGATTTCCCCCTTGAATTAGTGTAAACGTCGTCGGGAGGCCTTCTGACTCATTGTTCCATCCCCTCTAACAGCCTATAGCTTCTTTCTGCTCCTGAGGGCTCCGGAAAACAAATACTTACAAACAAGTGCCTACTTGGAGATGACAACCTCAGAGCTGCTTTCAGAACCCTGACCATGGCCTGGGGCTCAGTCGAGTTGTGGCTTTGTGGAAAGTGTGGCAGCATGGTCAAATTGGAAATGTCTTTTGGGTTCCAGGATTAATCTTACGACCACAGAAAACTTTTTCAAAGGGCTATCATCCTTTCACATCAAAATTGCTCAGACATTGCTGATGACAACATTAATGGGTGGTTGCAGGAATTACCCCAGGACTCATTTCTCTCCAGTCCTGGCTTCTCAGATGATTGCCCATATTTGGAAGGATTATTTGTCACAAGTTCGGTGGATCTAGAAGAGTTTCTCAAAATAGCTTGTTAGGTAAGATAGGTGAACACCAACCTGTAAAACTCCAAAGGAATTTAAATTTAATAGGTAAGTACCCTCCCCACAAGATACCAGATAATGGTTTGCAAAATACAGTGTAAGGTTTCTTATATTTTTGGTTGTGAGCCTAGCCTTTAAAGGCTGAGCCATCTCTCCAGCCCAGTGTAAGGTTTCTCTTACTGGGAACCTCTGTCATTTTCTTTTAAACCCAAAACAATAATCTGACCTCACCCTACAAAGCAAGCCGATCATGTCTTTGTTAGCATCTTTACTCTGAGAATCTAGGCCTATATACTTAAAGTCCAGTGCCTCTAATAAGCAGTAGTCTGCCCAGTCTCATCGGAAGTCCTTCCTTTGCTTCTGGTCCCTTTACAGTCTCTCTGGCTGATGGCTGCTAGTCAGGGGTCTGTGTTTTATAGTAGGGGGTCACATCTCTGGTCCCAACAGCACTAGGATTTGAGATTCAATTTACAGTGGCTACTGATACTTTTTTTTTTCTTTTCTGCATCACCTTCCTTCATCCTCATTTCAACAATGTAGAATTTTTTTTTTTTCAGAACTCTGAATAGGGATTTCAAAACCTGAGTGTTTTCCTTGTAATTTCCCACTGGATTCCGGCTTGCCAACTGTATTACCGTTGTTTATCCAGCATTGACAACTATAAGGCAATGCCACATCACAGTAACTTTTAAACAAATACTTCTCTTCCCAGAAGCTTTCATTAAAGATCTAATACACCTAAATTTTGAAGTTTTTAATCATCTTCCCAAACTTTAATTGTAGAGCATCTTCAATCAAGACCACGTAAGACATGATTTTAAAAGCAAGAAAGACTACATGCCATTTAAAGAAAAGAACTCTCCATGCTAAACACACCAGTTGATTGTGTGATCAGTTTCACCTTGGTGTGGTGGCAAGCCTCACCAACAAGCCCTAAAACATTAGCTCAACTGTTTGCTCTGGGCCATCCGTGTGGCTTTTGCCCCCAGATTGTTATATATCAGGTCAGTATCTTTAGCCAGGTTTTTCCCAGCTTAAAGCATTCAGGCCAATTTCCAAGACATTTTTAAGTTTGCCCAATAAATCAGCACAGAAAGGTACGTTTGGTTCCTGTAATCTCTTCCTCTGCACTTTAAGGGATACTATAAATGTTTTGTATTCTTGCAGAGCGTGATTCCTTAAAGGTTCCTGCCTTTGAGATGGTTGGATTTGTATCATACACTGTTGATTAAACCTAAATAATGTTCTCAAGCCAGGTTATTTCATTTCTACATCCTAACTGCTAATGTGATCAAGGTAAATTATTTTATAAAAGCTCAACTGTTGTTAATACTTCAGTGTAATGTAGAAGCAGGTAGGTACAGACACCCAAATGCTGCCAAATCACACTACCATCAAGTTCTTAAGAAAAGACCAAGAGATGAAAATTCTTAAAGTCTTGAATCATTTTTCCATCTAGGATAAAAGTTCAGTGTTTTCTTGTTATTTTCTTTAGGTTAAATACAAAAGTGGCCTTTTTTGTTGCAGCAAAATAGTGTAATTAGACATTAAATACTCTCAGATGTGTTTTCAGTCATCTTGTTTCAAAGACCACTCTCAGGAAAACAAAGTCATTTTAAGTTTATACCACCTCTTGGTCTTTGGAAATCTGTAGGTCATTGGCTTTTGGTACAATACAGTCGGATGGAATAAACTGTGAGCCTTTAACAATAATTAAAATAGAGTTATTGTAGGTAATGTTTCCCTTTTCCACTTTGTAATAACCAACATTATTTCCACATAATTTTAAACATGCCTTTATTTCCCATAAGTATACACATTTTACTCAGAAATGTAACCACCCCTGCATTTAAAGCTTGGGTATCATTAACAAATTATCTTTGACAGCAGAAACCTCAATGCATTGGACCAATGAGCATTTGGAACATCTGGATTCTGTGTAACCTTAAGCTCTTAATTCAGAACTGCAGGTCTAGGAGTAAATGCTGTCAGTTTAGTTAAATAGCAATGGCAGAGGTCTGAAGTGGGGATGCATTACTTCAGCTAAAGCAGAGGACTCATTTGCAATAGAAGTGGGCAAAGTCCTCCCAAGAGGTCAAGATCAAGGAACCTACAAGACAATGCAATGGGGGATGAATGGTGTATATCTTGACAGTGAGACTCTAGCCATGTTGAAAAGTTGGAGTTCACTCTTATTGATACAACATGTTACTTAAAAGGCAGGCTTTTTCATTTAATCAGCAGCATTTGGTATTAAAACCATCAAAACTCAAAGGAGTAGGATGGTACGAAAAATCTTCTATCATTGATAAAACTACAGAATTTAAAAGCTTCAGAGTATTTAGACAGACAGACAGTTTCTCATCCATGAGCTGCAGTTATTGCATTTATTATTCATCAGCAAAGTTAAGTGACTAATACCATTGTGCTCATTGGTCTTCCCGAAGGAAAGGAGAAGGTAACATTTGCTCCAGCTTCTAGGCCAACTGATAGTGTAGACCTATAGGAAAACACAACGGCAGCAGTTACAGCTAATAGTTTATGCATAGAAGTGCCAGGATTACTCTGCATTTTGTCTTAGTAATGAGCATATCCCTTCCATAGTGGCTAATTAAAACATGTTACACTGTTTTCACCATAAAGTTACTCAATTTTTTAGTGAAACGACAGTTCCACTGTTCTTATTGAACAGATGAAGAACAGAGTATTGCTGTTTTAGCCCAGAACAATTTCAGTTATTCTTCTGAAAAGCACCTTAGGTTTTTTCCTTCTAAATTGCTTATGACATCTTTAACATTCACCCTCCTTTTTTGCAATAAAGGCCTTTATAATAATTATTACTAGCCTAGTTCCAGGCAGGCTTAAAGAACTTCAAAGTATGCTGAAACATACACATGACTGTGAACAATTTTTGTGAAAGAATCAGCCACTGTTATAATCCAAAAACTGTATGTGGCTGAAAGCTAAGCTCGTTGCTACCCTATGAAAAAAAATATTATCAAGTTTAAAACCATCCTTTGCTATCTAGATTTTCTAGTGAATGGCTCAGAGAGCTGCTTCACAGGAATCCAGAGACATCTCAAACACCAAGATGGGAAGCAACTCGAAATTTAGCAGCCCTGGAAGTGCTTGGTGGTATACCTGTGTCAGATTTCCAAAAGGTTTTCACTAGCCTGTTTTTTTTAAATTAAAACAAAACAAAAAAGCCCCACAAGCCACAGTATCAGTAATTACTTTTTCAGACTACTTTAATGACTGGGGACACACACCCCGTCAGCCTGGTCTATATAACCTGGATATGTGGAGTCAAATGCAGTTTGTCTACCAGGTCAACAAACAGTAGCCACCCACCCATTTGTTACAGGTATTAGAATTCTATTGCCACATGAGTAATCAAGAGGCTGAGAAGACAGCTGGACACAGTTTATTCCTACACTTTGTCTTTATGAAAAGGTCTGTGATAAAAAGGAACCCTATACATAGTAAAAAGGGAGAGCCAAATGCTCCATGGCCAGAAGCTATGGTGCCAACACATCTGTAAACAAGGTAAAGGTACTTAGCCCGTGATAATGCTGCAGACAGCTGCTAGTGTTTGTTACAAGAGTTGGCACAAGGGTTTAATCTCCAACCTTGGCGCCCTAAAGTGGCTAAATTGTTATTTATCCATGTATCTATTATGTGTGTATACACACACAAATATATACACACAGATTTATGTTAGTGTCTCACGTATCCAAGGCTCCTCTCAAATTCCCTAGGAAGCCAAGTCTGACCTTTAACTTCTAATCCTTCTGCCTCAATGCTGGAGTTATAGGTGTGCACCACACTTGGTTTACTTTACGCAGTGCTGAGGATCCAGCTCAGGGCTTCTTGCCTGCTCTGAAGGCAGCCTGCACCCAGAGCACCCCACCCTGTAGGAAGAGGTAGAAAGCCTTTCTACCTCTTCCTACAGGAAGGGACAGCAGCAGCCAATAGTGGCTCTTGTTTACAGGAGGGTTGGAATACTCCCCCCACCCCCAGCAGCACAGCTGGAATCACAGCTCTCTGCAGGGTTCCTGGGAGAATGCAAAAGGTGGTTGGAGTGTCCACCTCTACTCTTACAGGAAGATGCTGGAAGTAAGCAGTACCAAATTCAACAGGTGACCAGGGGCTTTACATTCAGTTATCTGGAAGCAGAACAGATTCAGCTCCTCTGAATCTACCGGATCATCTTTGAAGTACACCAAGAATAAAAGCCACTTGAGGATAACATAGTCTTTGCTGAGTCCCCAACAGAAACAAAACTATCTTAATGACAGAGCAGGAGACTCGAGGGCAAGGTGAGCTCTAAGGGGCTGATCTCTGGGGAATCCACATCCATGAACTTCTTACTAAGGGCTACCTGAGACCAGCGAATGTGGCAGCTAGGCCAGGAGGACTGAAATCGCCCTCCACGACTGGAGTGAACCCCGGTGCTGGGTATGTCTTCTCAGATCTACACACTTTAGGAACTCAGCTTCGTTTCTTAAAACCAACCCAAATTCAAGGTCATGTACAATCAGCAATAAATTATTAAGGAGCAAAAGGTCCTATGGGCAGGAGAGAAAACAAATCTTAGTCACCGAAAGGAGGAGGGGTTCAAAATCCTTTAGTGTATTTTTGTAGAGAATGAGAAACATTATGGCTTTAGGATGGAAGCGCTTTTCGGATCCCCTGTCCCACTCCCTTAAATCAAAGCCTTGGTGACAGTGACAGTACCAGGAAGCAACCTAGCTTCTCGCCCTCTCACCCACCCGCCCGCATAACCGTGCCCGGTGGCTGTACTCCTGTGGGCCGTGCTCCCAAAGGTTGTCCAAGACGAGGTGCGGGTCACTACAGTAGATCCATCGCTCAGGAGAGGGGACAGAGAGAGGAGCCCTTATGTTAGTTCGCGGGCAGCCAGGCCTTTTTCGAGCAAGGCAGGGCATAACTTTGGCCCACAGTTCCGGGGCAGCGGGCTCTTCAAGGTAGAACCTTGGGGCCTGGATAGGGCTCTCCCTCGCACCAGAAGTCATCGGCTTGTGGGGTTTCCAGGAGCCACACTTCTCGGGGCAGGTCGCACGCAGAGCTGGAGGCCTCCTTGGGTCTGATGGGCTCCAGCACACGGTAATAGTGGCAGTCCCGTCCATCGTCCGGGTCGTAGGGTGGGGCCAGGATGTCCAGGAAGGCGGCTGGCCCGTCCACCGCATCAATCTGGTGCAGGTTGTCCCGGTGTGGCGTGAGCACGCAGGGCCCGCTGGCTTCGGTGTACTCGGCCCGGGAGCGCAGCACGCCCCGCCGCACGGCTTCCCGTTCCCGGGGCTGCAGCGGCGGCTCGAACTGCTGCTCAGGAGGCGGCGCCCGCGGTCCCGCACCCGTGTCCAGCTTGTCCATGCAGCTGATGCGTACCGTGCCGTAGAGCACCTTGAGCATGCCGTGCATGCCCGGGTGGTCGTGCAACGGGATGCACGTGCCGCTCTTGAGCAGGAACACGCCCAGGCTGAAGCCCTCGGTCTCGTAGATGTGCATGTATGTGACCGGCGGCAGGTTGCGCGGCAGTGGCTGCGGCAGCGCCTTCCGCGGCGCGATGTTGAGGTCCTCGGCGCGCACCTGGGTCAGCAGGCTCTTCAGCTGGCTCAGGTTCTCGGGGAAGCCCGGTGCCGGCGCATCGGAGCCCGTGGCGCCGCCGCGGAAGGTGAGGCACGCCTGGCGAGCGATGCGCTGGATCAGGGAGGCCATGTTGTCACGGGGCATGCTCGGCGCTTCCTGCGCGGCCCGCGGCCGGCCCGCTCCGCCTCGGCGCCGCCCCTTGCGGTCCCCGGCGGCCGCCACGGCTGCCCGCAGCCCCGCGCCAGGCGGGAGACACCTCCCCTACTCCCCCCCCCCCCGCAACCACCGGCCGGCGGGGCGCGCGGGGCGGCCCTGCACCGTCGCCCGAGCTAGCGCGCCAACGGCCGGGCGCCTGCCCGCGCGCGCACGCGCGCGCGCAGGAAGCGAGTGCGCACGCGCCCGGCCGCGCTCCGCACTCACGCTCGGGGCACAGGTAGGCGCCGCGCAGGCCGTGCCAGGCGCTGCCCTCACGCGCGGAGCTCCATTCACGCGGGCCCGCACCGACGACGACAGCTGGGCGCGGCGGGCGCGCCGCAAGGCACGCTGGGATTTGTAGTCCGCGGCTGCGCCTGCGCGCTGCGCGGACGCCCTCCGTCCGAGTTGGGGCGGGGGGGAGGAGGCTGGGGGAGGGGGAACCGGGACTCTTGAAGACTTGGCAGAAAAGCAGGCAGCTCGCTCTCCAGAGCCCTAGGGTGTTTTCTTGTTTGCTAAAACTTAACAATTATGCAAGAGATACAGCCTTCTAACTACAACTCCCGGCATCCCCGCAGGCAGGGTGACGCACTTCCGGCAGCTGTCCGGGGAGGGAGGGGGGCTTGGTGGAGGCTCTTCGCCGCTCGGAGGATGGGAGCGAAAGGGTTGTTAGCCTCCTGGTGCCGCTAGGGCCTGCTGGGTCTTGCAGGGTCACCTTTGACCCTTGCCCCGTGAGAACGAGGCTGCGGGGTCAGCCCCAGCTGCTCGTAGTCCGCGCCGTGTGCACCGCGGAGGCCGGGGGATGGCGCTTCTGTGCTCTGCGTCTTAGGAGGTGCACGGGGTCACTCAGCACAGCTGGGCCCAGCTGTTGTTTGCCGCGGGGCCTGGTGACTCACTGACAGCGGGGGGTGGACTCTGAGAGGACATTTGCTGTGACCAGGGTTCCCTTTACCAGCGTCCGAGAAGCACCCGCCGCTCTGCTCTCTGTGGGTAGATTATCGCTGTCATCGAGGGGAAGTCTCTGGCCCAGCTTATGAAGTTAGTCCACCGCCAAGCGATTAGTTATTCTCCGGACTCTTGACAAGACGTAGGTGGTGGCTGGAGAAACAGAAGACTCTGGATGCCGTGGAATTAAACCTTTATCCTGAGTTTAGGGTCTTCTTAGACTTCCAAAGCTGACCATGGGTTTCTCGTACTTTTTGTAACTGCAGCAGCTTAGAAAACCCTCCCCCAGTTAAAGAGGCATAGGGTATGTGACCCAGTCAGTAGGTTCAGTCTAACAGGTAGCCTTGCTAAGTGCATTCAGTAATGAACGTTATCTTAGTTAACCCTCACAGAAACTCTTCAGTAGGCACCAACTAATCGCTTGGCGGTGGACTAACGCCAGGGCTTCTGACTCAGGAGAATTGGAGGGAAGGATAGAATTCTGGTTGGGGGCGGGTGCTCTCTGAAGTAGTTCTAGATTCAGCACCATGTTGGGGGGGGTCACTGTGAGATCTTTAAATGGTAAGCCAACTCAATAGTAGGAGGGTGTGAGTAAGATCAACTATTTTTATGTAAAAGGATCCTTATGGCTGCTTGGCCTTTAGGAACTGGGCGGCAGGGGGGGGGGGTGCCATTCTCAAACGCACCATCGAAGTTCCCTGGGCAAAGAAGTCCCATGCAGTTCATTTGTAGAGTAAGGGACATTTAAGAGAACGTCCTTTCTGATTGTTTACAAACACAGATTTTTTTACTGACTGGTTTTCCTCGTATTAAAGTGTCATTAGGGAGAGGTTTAGACTTCACGGTACGCAGACTTGAACAGCCTACAGAGTGCTTGCTTTACATGTGTCCCTTTTTAATAATTGTCTGTATTTACATAAACGAAGCTAAGCATTTAACATGTAAATTGGCAAGATAGGACACATGTGTACATCACCACTGACACCTTTGGGAACATTGTAACGATTACAGGACAGTGGGTATTATTAAGAGTTTTCAGTGGCTCAAAGTGACCCTTTCAAGACCAATAGGTTTAACCATTCAGTGAGTACCACGATGGAATGTGGCTTGTCTTTAGCAGATGCAGAGCAGAGCTTCTAAAGGTGATTTTGTTGGTCTGAGCTGGTGATACCTCCACTCAAGCCCTTAATATTTATGCATTCCTTAGCTGCAGAGTCCACAGTTTCTAGATTACCTGCATAAGAAACTCTGGGGGCGTTTGCCCAAAGTGCAGTTCCCAAATTACATTAAAATCTGCATCTTGCATCTTGCAGTGTTAGAGATCCAGTGAGTATCTGCAGAGCATCTGGTGCTTTATAGGTCATAGGCAGGCCGCCTTATAATTCCTTTTGATGCTCCTTCAGAGCTGCACTAGGGAAGGGTACCGAGCCTAAGGGGGTTTGCCCTTAGAAGCGCCTTGCTTGGCTTTCTGCCCCACAGCCAGTAGCACAAACTGAGTGGGACTTTATTAATAGCCTTTGAAATATTCTTTATTTTTCATTTCTCCATCTTGTTGTAAGCAGAGTGAAGACCAAAAAAATAATAACAAAGTCCAGGAGAATACATGGCAGAAACATGTTTGGAGAAGTTTGGGATACATGGAATATATTATCAATAAATAGTATCTAGTTGGTACAAAGTATTGCTCTAGGCTTTGCAGGTTCAACAAGGAACAAGGAGGGACAAGGTTTTATTCCCAAGGAGCATACTAGTAAACGTGTCTCCCTCAAAGAGCATATATTGAGGACACACTACCCAAATCCATAGGTTCATGATCGATGGAGATGGGTCCTTTGGGAGGTAGATATATTAAGCGATGAGTGTGTAGCCCCATGATGGCATTGGTGGCCTTATGAGAAAATGACGAGCTTTCATGCTACCTCTTTCTCACCATGTGATACGTATCCTCTGTCATGTCAAGAAGTAGCAGGAAGGGCCTTGCTGGATGGCACCATGCTCTCAGACTTTCCAGCCTCCAGACCACAGGAATAACTTTATTTATGAATTCCTCAGTCTGACACTGTTATAGCAGCAGATAGACAAGGCAGGATGTTCCAGAGTACATAGACATGAATGTGAAATTTCTTACTGATGTAAACACATGGAGACAATTGAACGGGTTAATAGGATGATAAGGTATTTGTGTGTGGTATCTTACTTCACATTCAGTTATCAGGAGTGATCAAGGGTAAGAATTGGGTTTGCCCCAAGTGTCAGAAAAATAGTTATGGAAAAATATCAGCGCATGGCAGTTAAGAATCTCAGCAGTTAAGCTTGCTGGCTGCTCCTGCAGAGGACCTGGGTTCAATTCTAGCACCCACGTGGTGGTTCACAAACATCTATAAGTAGTCCCAGAGGATGTGAGTTTCCTTTGGCTTTGCAGGCACTGTGCTGCATACATGCATTGCACGGTGTATATGCAGGCAGAACACCCATACATGTAAACATTTCTTAAAAAATAAAATGGTATCTGCGGTGCTTTTCAAATCAGGACAGTTCTGTGCAGTGTCACTCCCCCAGGGTCACTGGCAGTGTGCACCCGAAGACCTCTCATCTCATCCCGTATCTGTGGTGCTTGAGAAAGTCATGTGCTACAACAGCAAGGATCTCTAGCCCTGCGAGACCACTGAGAAGTTGCTTAACACTGTTCATGCCACTCAGGAGCTATGGAACCTGTGTTAGGACACAGCTGTGGCCTGACACATTGATTGGCGGAGTCAGAAAGAACTTGACTCCTAGCAAATAGGAAGGAAAGAGAAAGGTTTCAGGGACATTGAGAGTTGGGGTCCTGGTGGGGATGAAGTTGGAGAAGTGGGCAAGACCTAGCTTCTGTGTGGGGCTGTGTTGTGTTATAAGTACGGCGGGAAATGGCTACACAGCTCTGGGCTGGACAGGGGACTTGACCGGCTGGCTTCACTTGCTCATTTCCTTTTTAAAGAGGAGAGATCGTTGGTGGGTCAAGTGTAGAGAACCCCAGCTGGACACAGTGATTCAGGGGAGACGTGAGAGATGATGTGAAGATAGAGCTTGGAAGAAGGTACAGCCAGCAGGGCTGTCTGGTGAGCTGTGGCTTTGGTGGTCTGTTTGAAAGTGAGCTCCCCACAGTCTCCCTTTCACAAGCCGACAAAGACAGCTCTGTGGTGACAGGTAAGAAAGCTCTCATCCCACCTTCATTTTTTCTTCAAGTTGCTTCATTCACGGGGAAGCCACTGGAGGAGTCCCAGCTCTGTCTGTTTAGCTCCCTCTCCCTGCTAGGGTTATGTTTAGTCTTTGGGAATAGGCTGTCCTTTTGTTTTTCATCTTCTCCCCTTCAGTTCACAAAGACTAATTTTCCTTTATTCACAAGCTTACCTCCCAACTTTTACACAGACCTTTCCCTACTATCCATTCTGCCCATCTGTTGGGCACACTGTGACTCATGGAAGGGTACCATATTATTAGCACTCTGGACTACTGGAAGATGGTAAATAAACTGCTAAAATTCCCTCAGTTTTAGACATGCTTATATAGCTAGACTACTTGTATTTAGTTATATTTAAATATTTGGGGTTTGTATTGTGGCTTCCTTTTCAGATTTTAAAGTATATTAGCTTTCTTGTTCTATATTATGAATGAGTAGCAAGTTGTAAGAAAAATAAATAATTGCCAAACCAGAAGAACTAGTTGCATGGCCTTGTGAGTGTCTGGGTGTCCCCTGACTTCCCTGGATGCTCCCCTTCTCGGGGTGTGTTTTGGGAGATGATGCTCACATTTCTTTCTAGCTTCTCCTTTAGCCCAACACAGAGGAAAGAGGCCATTATGAGAACTATGTAGGCAAAACCAAGCACAGACATTTTCTCCCTTTGGGTCTCTTAAATGACACCCTCTCAACTCAGGCCATATCCACTAAAATCTCACACAGGAACTCCTTTACTCTAGCTTGGTTTGGTTATCTGGACTCTCACTGCTCTGGTGTCGAAGCTGTTCGCTTACATATGCTAAACTCAGAGACAGTTAGTGTTGAGTTAGACTTTAGGTGGCCATTACACCAACAACACTGCAGATTTCCATGGTGTCACATAAGCTGTAGACACCATTTTCTGACTAAT